GGGGTTCTTTAACGTGCACCCAACGCTGAGCACACGGGCCTACGACATTTCTGCCTCCATCGGAAATGCAGCCGCCGCAGCCGGGATTTGAACCCGCGACCTGCGGGACGAACTAACAAAAAGAAGCTGTTAAGGTCTGGCCAATCTGAGAAAATAGAAGAGCAATTTGCGAGGCCATGACTACGATGTTATGCAATTCATGCTCTACAAATGCGCTGACACACACTATTTGCAAACAAGGCGAGTTTCAACTAAAAAGGCCATAGGATAACATTTAGGTAACTTAGGTAGCTACGAATAACATCGCGAACTTCATTTGGGTATACGCTGTGGCTTATCGAAAGCGCGAGGCGCTATTTCTTTTCACAAGAGCTTCGTATCTCGGAAAAAAGAATCAGATCTGTCAAGTCACGGAGCATGCGGTTTGTTAACTGATACAGGAAGCGTGCAAATCCGTAATGCTTTTGTCTTCCTAACGCGGTGACAGTGAGGCTTGCCTAGCAGCACAAGGGAGCGGCTGCGTAGTGCTGCCTTATTGTCGATCAATTACCCTCTTCGATTGGACGTTCCTGAATTCCACGAGAATTTACCGGTATTGCGATTATGGTAAGCAAAGCCTTCATCACTCTTGACTTTACAGGGCCTACACACTAAGTCAACATAACACAAACATTCCCAATATTTGATAGCGTATTCCGAAACTCATGAAGTTTCGCGTTATTAACGCCCTTCAGTTTAGTTGTTCAGACTAACATTGAACCAAGTGGTTCTTTACTTTTCGGCCACAAATATAGATGATTAGCCATTCAGAGGTTTGTAAAATGCTCTTTTATTACGTAATGTGCTGCCCCCCCCTCCCCACTTTGGTTATGACACTCGACCGCTAACGCGAAGGTCCCGGCAGTGGCAGCTGCCTTTTTAATCGAGGCGAAAATGTTTGAGGCCCGTGTAAATAAATTTCGGTACACGGCGAATAAAACTAGGTTGTTGAAATTTTCGCCACTTTCCACTACCGCGTCTCTCGTAATCGTATCGTAGTTTTGGGGCGCTAAGCCACAGGTATTATTGAGTTTGATTTGCTAGGTTCACGAAGGCAAATCTTCGTACTCTTTTATTTAGTCACTATTCGAGGGTGGTGCGGATGTTTGCTTGTGGATGGGAACATGCTTCTGCTCTCCTTGCCCTTTATTTGGACGTTGCACCATTCGACTTCACGCACATCTCAAGCTCCCCTCTTAACTTCTTGCTCAAGGCTACGTTCACGCAATAGAAGTAATTATATAATAATAATGTTTAGTTTTTCTCAATAGTTTGATAATGAACAGCTGCAGGTAAAAGCTGCTCTCCTAAAAAGGCAGCTTGACAAAGGCCCACAGCCACCTTGTAGCACGACAGCATTGGCAAAAAGTCAAAATTACGAACTAAAAAACAACAAAAAAGCAAATAAACAAATTAGGTTCATATTCCAAAAATAAAAATAGCAACACTGATAACATTATAGCAACTGGAAAGAAAAATTAAAAACTTAACATGTGTACCGCGTAATCGAGTCTGTGTACAGTGTAATAAATCTGTGCCAGCTTTCACATATTTATTAAGTAACGTTGGAACTATGTAGGATAACTTACCTGAGGAATAGTTTGTTCTCGAAGATTTTATTTTTCAAGTTTCTTACTTCGTGTCTCGAACAACGTAGTATTTTGCTGCAAATTTGAGAGGTCGTACAAGAAACGTCGACTCTTTTAGAATTCACGCCTGCTTGCCATTGCTATTTGATAACGTAGAGACGATGTACGAGTAGTATTCCAGCCTGTTGAAACGATTCGCTTGTGGGACCATCATACGACAATTTGCAAATTATTCTAATATACTTCGTTTTTATCAGATACACTTTTAGCAAGTTCCCATTAGTTGTAGTGATTTGTAAAGTAAGAACTTTACCTTGAACGGTAGAAAAGGTTTGCTACTGTACACCATATCCACTAGCGAGATAACTGACCCAGCCCACTGTCAATGTGTTCGTTCCAAAGCATGTTGCTCGAAATTGTAACTCCAAGGCTTTTTGAACGATTTACTAGCTGTATATGAGTATCGTGATAAGTAAGATGCGCGTTTTGATTAGGAGGCTTATTTTTAAATCAAAATTGTACCGCCTTTGCTTCACTGGTGTTTATGTTTAAAATATTACAGCATGACCAGAGCTTAAGTTTCCCAAGAAACTGGGTCATTTTTCTTCAAGCGCGATACTACCTTCAGCTGAAAGATACCAGCTGACGTCATTTGCATATAAGACGTATTTAGAATCTGGATAAATACGAACAAAATCATTTATGTAGGCTACAAAAAGAAGGGGTCCAAGGATGTTTCCCTTAGTTAGGCCTCAGCTCTGAGAACTATCTATATAGTTAAACCACATGTTTGCAATATTTAAGGTAACTTTTTATTACGCCTCGTTCTTGACCAGGAATTCCATAGCATTGCAACTTTTAAACAACGTGGAATGCTGAATGTTGTTGAATGGCTTACTGAATTAACATACCGAGAACTGCTTGTTTGTTTTCCAACTCAGATAACATGAATTCCTTTTGTTTTAATAGCGCAATTTCCGTATATCAGTGTTTCCTGACACCAAACTGAGTTGGAAAAATCAAAATGTGTTTTTCTACAAACTGGTACAGTTGACGATGTATAAGCTTTTATAACCTTTTCGAAAACACCGACAGAATAGATATGGGTCTGTAGACTTTAACATCATTTTTGTCTCCTTTTTAACAAAACATTACCTTTTGCTATCTGCATTTTTTCGGGAAACCTTGCACTTTAAAAACAAAGATTGATTACGTGAGTAATGTGAAAAGAATAGGTAGCTAAACCATATTTAATGGGCCTAATCTGCATCACCAACAACATCACAAGACCCCACCGCCGTGGCCTAGTGGCTCGGCTGCTGACCCGCACGTCGCGGGATTTAATCTCAGCTGCAGCGGCTGCATTGCCGATGGAGGTGGAAATGCTGTAGGCTCGTGTGCTCAGATTTCGGTGCACACTAAAGAACCCCAGGTGGCCGAAATTTCTGGAGCTTTCCACTACGGCGTCTTGCATAACCATATGGTGTTTTGGAACGTTAAACTTCACATATCAATTATCAATCAATCAACATGACAGATGAAGCGTTTTTAAATTGCGAGAAAACGTAATAAACTTCTTCGTCCAATACAGGTTCAAAAAATAAGGAGGATAGATTTGGATATGATTGAAGCCACTAGGCATATATTTATGTGTAATTTTGACTAAGTGGTCATTGAATATATTTACAAGTTAAGCTTCTGATAGGCTGCACCCTGTTATAGTCAGATTTTCACCACTTGACCGTGCTGTCCAACAGTTAAAAATCAAGTCCAGCTTCGTCCACGAGGTGTGAGTCTTATCTGCGCTTGTTGAAATATCAATTTGTATGTGGTGCGATCTGATGCTGATGCTGATGATCTCTGATGAATGGTGCTTACCCACAAAGGGGGATGGGCCAAGAACCGGGCGGCAGGATACTTAAATGAAACTAAAATGAAAATGAAGCCAATCTGAAAAAGTAGCTGAAAAAACAAAAATACCACAACGTCTTTTTACAGGAGCAGCAGCCCTGGACGTTGCGCCGAACTGAACGTTAGACTACGAGCACAACAAACAGTCCTCTACTTTTTCACAAAATGGCACATACTCGCATTGGCATGGCTCAACCTCGTTTCCCGCTTGTGGCAATATCAATGTTAAAGTCCCCTTCTAATACTGTAAAATACGCATTGTTTAACAAGAAACATAAAAGCGTCTCACAGAAACAAATGAAGCCATCAAGAGTGCTGCTTCTTAGGTGAGTTGGAAATTCATAGCTAGACAAGCAAAGAGAAGGAGGAGATAGGATAGGGCACTAGACTAGCAACTAGTTTTCATTTAAAATCCGCTTTTCATATTTACATCCTTGGCCACCTGACACTTTCAGTGCATTGACGAATTCTAGAACAGCCTTTCTTTCTCTGATAACATTAACGACGGTGAGCCGACACAATTATCCCCTTGGATGATTATGGTCTTTGCTTCGATGATTTCGCGAGTACACTTAACTTTGTGGCGGCTGAATAAGATGCATCTTGAATACATAGGTGAACAACCACAGCCATTGCATTGTGTGGACAGGTGCCCATCTTTGAATTGAGCTACGTTTTGTTCGTGCTCGCGCAGTCGATCATTGATACAACGGCCCATTTGGCCGATGTATTTCTTGCCACATGTCAGTAGCGACATGTACACCACGCCTATGACGCATGCCGCGAAAGAATGGCAGTGTTCTGTCTTGCATTCTGCCAGCTTTCTAGAGGCTGGGTCGGTTATCTTACAATAAAAAAATTGTTGCTAGACTGGCACCCTGTCCTGTCTCGTCCTTTTCCTTCATTGTAGGAGTTGCGCCACCGATATTTTGTGAAGTCATCGAGGTTTCTATCTTGTGGCCTATAACACACAGAAAAAAAAGATATTTACTGGCTCAAACTGTAAGCTTTTAAAATCATCACACATAACACAAAATTGAGAAAGCAATTTCTATTACGTGCCTTTCTTCAAGAGTAACATGACACCGCCCCCAAGACACGTTGGGCGATTTAAACGAACAGACTGGTAAGAAGTGAAAGGAAACGCTTAATCCTTATCTTTGAACCACGTTTCAGTAAACAGTATGACGTCCAACAAGAATGAAAATACTTGGGGTAAAAAATTGAAGGCCGTCTAGTTACAGGAAATGAAAAATTTACTCACTCAAATGGGCGAATTAAAAGCGCCGAAACGAAGACGAACCAAGTGTACTAATAATAACATTCTCACGGCAGTATCCGTACCGAGATGCTTGTGGTAAAGCTTGCTGTATAAATAATTTTCGCGCCCGTAGCGTCATTTTTTTCTTTACCTACTCTTTACAAGGCATTGCGTACTAATGCTCTTTTTTCTCGCTTCAGCGACCAGGCGGAACTCACGGAGCAGAACCTGCTGCGGATTCGTGGGCGTATCAAGGATTTGGTTATAAAAGGTGGTGTCAACATTAGCCCCGAGGAAATTGAGCTTGCTCTGGTTGGTACGTTCCTTCTAGCTGCCTTCTAGACGCATAATATGTGGGCTGCTGAGATAAATACTGCGCACCACAAACAAGGGCCAACTGATAAAAGTTGACTTTAGAAAAAATAATTCTCAAGCGTTCGTGAATGATAGTTACGCAAGCGGTTAGCATGCAACGCTTGAAGACTGCGTGTCAAGCCTTATAGTCGCTGATGCGCAAAGGATATCAAAAATAGAGCGCAGTGTCAGGGTACTTCTCGATAACTTGCCGTGAGCAGTCCTGCTCACGGCAAGGTATTCTTTACCCACTTTTATTTCTTGTTTATTTGATATTGGTTCCAATAACTTCCCCTATATATATATATATATATATATATATATATATATATATATATATATATATATATATATATATATGCGACGCTACGATGAATGAGAGACGTGGCCTGGCTCATACGCCATGTTTATTCTATTCTCTGACTCCTTCCTCCTCAGCTTCTACCAACCATCACTACATACGTCACACGATTCCCCCTCCCCCGAAAGCTGGCACCGGTTACAAACTACAACAAATTGAAAACAAAATAATGGCCAAATTCACAGTTTCACGTCCTGACGGAGTTCTACAATCTCACTAAATATAAAAGGCCGAGGGAGCAGTCCGGTGATTTTTATGACGACTCTGGTGGACGAGCTTGACTGTTGCGTTCCGGACAGAGTGGGCTACACATGGATACTGACAATACTGCTTGAACTCCTCTGGGGACCGAGCAAGGATGGAGCGCATTGTTGCATCGGCAGCTCGAATGTCGTCGGGGTTGTATTTTTCGTCGCGAATGGTGTAATCCCGGTGCTTGTTGCTTTCGTGGTGTTTGACAGACTGTAACAAAGTGCCCGAGTGCTTGCGGTGTGCAAGCAGTGCTTCCGCGTCTTTCTCGGCGTTTTCTGTGGTGGTGCAGTCGGTGTAATAGCTGAGGCAGGGAGTGTCTCTGGTGACTTTTCTTTGTGCGAAAGTGTCTGACGTCCTGAATTGGTGTTTGGTTTCGAGATCTTATTTTCCAATGTTCTTTCATTGGTGAGTGCGCTTCCGTTGAATTTTGCGTTCGTCGATGCCCTCGTTGCAGTTTCTCTCGTTGTAGCATGGGTTTATGAACTTGGCTTTGCTGAGGCTGCTCAAGAGATGGCTGTAGTGGCGCCCCTTCTGGAATTGGGCATTCATTTCCTTCGAGGTTTGATGCGTCCTGTAGACAGCTGATGCTCGGTGAATTGGTGTCTTGTTTGTCGGGCATAGTTGGTAATGCATCATCATTGCTAGCTGGCTCTTCAAAGGCTTCGGTGACGTGGTTCATTACGTACGCTTCCGAAAGACAACTGTGTACGAGGTTTGATGTATCATGTACTTCTGAATTTGTTCGATTCATGAATTGGTGAGCTCTGCATGTGGGCACCACCGGTGACATGACATTACTAGGTTTGAACTGCAGATTTTGGCAATTCTGCGGTGCCGTATAAATGACAGGAAGATCTTCAGGGGCTTCTTTTTTGCTGTTCACTGCGAGTGGTCTTTGCGCCTGGTAGCGTGCGACGTTCAATGCGTCTGAGCGTTCTGTTTTGCTTCGACTGTCCAGTGTGTGTGCACAGCACGGTGATGAATGCACATGTCCGGAAAGAGCATGGCTTGACAGGGTATTTTCTTGAAGCGTGAGGTAGTCTACCGAGGTTGCGGCGTCCTTATGAGGCGAATGGTGAGCGATAGGAGCGCTTGAAAAACCGTGTGACGAAAACCCAGGTGGTGGACCCCGTATGCGAGACGAAGAGTGCAGGGCGTCAGGTGGTTCAGCAACGTCTGGTGTCATATGCTGAAGCGATGACTTCGGAAATGCCGACTTTCGTGTACAAGAAAAACGCGCTTGACGGTTGGGTTTTCCCCAATGTATGCATGGCCTTCTGTAAGTAAACGCATGTGCCACTTCGTCTTGAGGCACTTTTCCATTCGCGCTGGACTTTCGAATGCTTGAGGGCTGCTTGGGAAATTGACGATAGTGTGCAGTTGTCTCTAGATGGTTGGCAATGAGTAAGTCTTGGTCATAGTCATTAAAACAAGTAATCATATCCTCTTTGATTTTTCGCCATGACTCGTCGTTCTCGAATATGTGAATAAGGTGAAATTTAAATGCCTCACCGGTGACGTAGTCGCTGAAGTTCGTAACCATCTCCCGTTCCGACCAAGATGCTGTGGTAGCGTGGAGTTCAAACAGGTTGAACCAGTCCTGTACGGGTCCGTCGTCCGCTGATCCGGTGTACCTTGGGATGTCGAGGTCAGCCAATGATTCTGTCATGGTGCTGGTCGTTGTCCTCCCAGGCGATGATTCGGTAGTCAATGTACGGTCAGGGCGTCTTCTAGGGAACTGCGTCGATGATGAGTGACTGATGAAGGGGCAGGCAGGTCTCCATCCTGTCGACTCGTGTAACGCTACGATGAATGAGAGACGTGGCCTGGCTCATACGCCATGTTTATTCTATTCTCTGACTTCTTCCTCCTCAGCTTCTACCAACCATCACTACATACCTCACATATATATATATATATATATATGAGGAACAAGAGCAGTGCGCCTTATTGGGCCATCTCATTAGCCCCAAGTCTCAAGCGCGAGTTGTTGGTCCTAGCGCTGCGATTGCTGTGTTGGTCGTTGCCGCCCGCTTTCAGTGTCAATACCCTTGCTTCGCGAGTGCTGCTTACTCCGATAAACCTCGTTTCAGAGTGGTGGAAGTGCGGGGTAATTGAACCTGGAACTCCGCAACATGAATCTACCTGCTGCCCCCCCCCCTCAAAAATGGCTGACTAAAACCCCCAGCTAGGTACTACTGAGACCTTGATGGTCATCGTGCCAGTGCGCTAAGCGTGAGCGATCTACCTTTTTTTTCGACGTTACCGATGAACAATACGTCGAAGATTGGCTGTCGGCATTCGAAAAGGTAGGTGCCAGCAACAAGTGGACGACCTTTCAAAGTTGCTGTGTGTGCGCTTCTACTTGAAATAAGTGGCGAGTCTCTGGTTTAACAACCACCACTCGGAGTTCGACACTTCCGAACATGTGTTCGGATGGCCCGAGGTAGCAAATTCTCGGTGCCGAACAGCGCGTATGGGGACGCACACATCACCACAGGGAAGGCTTCGCAAGCTACAACGAGGATGTGCTCGACTTGAGCAAGTACCTTGACCCTTCAATGAAGGAAGCAAGGAAGATCAAACACATCTTGAAGTGGATAAATGACGACGCCTTCCGGAAGCTGCTGGCGAAGGCCTGTTACGCCGGATAGCCCAGACCAAACGTCTTGGCTGTGCAAAGGCAATCTGTGTCAAGGCCAGTGAGTGAACCCACCTGAATGCCTTCTCAGCGACGTCACCTAGCCTAGTGGCGCCAGTGTGTCTTGCGCAATGCATGTCAAGCTCTCTTCACGCGCGGGTCAGGTTCCAACCAGTTGATGCATGGTCGCTATTCAGTTCGGCAAGTCTTACACAAGGCGTGGCAATCTCGCTCGTCCTTGGATTAAGACGCCAACCAGTGGCGGGTGCCGATTGGATGATTCTAAAGTGACCGAGCGGCAGTTCATATTGGACGTTGCTGACCTAAGGCATCAACCTGGGGCCTATAATGAATCAAGCGGCGCTTCACCAAGCAGCCAACGTATGAGTCAGAGAGAAGACATTGGGGCTCTTCAGATCCCTAAGCTGTGGGTCCCAGTGCCGAAGAGTTAACGCCTCTTTTCCAATGCTGTACATAAACCTTGCCTCAATTCACTGTCGTCTTGTCCACTCATCTATCAGCTCTGCACAGAAGCAGTCGCAAGCTGAGAAACACACGCTAAAAAACAGCCAGTGACCTCGGCAGCAGCGATTTTTGAAGCAGTGGCGCTTTCGAGACCATGTTGGCGTCGCGCCTTCGTAACAGGGCCCACGGACCATTTTCGAACTCGCCACTCTTTGCCAAATCTACAACACCTACAACCTACAACACCACAACACGTTAGTGGTGGAAATCAAATTATATGTGTGCGAGAAGTTGGCCCGAAAACTTTCGTGCCTGTCGTATCTACCGACAAAGGAACCTCTTCTGAGTGTCATGCACAGGTCGTCAGGCAGGTCTGGGAAAAACGCCATCTGGGACAATTGAAGAAGGGGATCAGGACCCGATCGTCTGCTTACATCGTAGGTCTAAGGAACAACGGAACAACTGAACAAGCCAGCGCTCACACTGGCACACACACACACACACACACACACACACACACACACACACACACACACACACACACACACACACACACACACGCGCGCGCGCGCGCGCGCGCGCGCTATATTTTTACGGAAAAAGAAACTATTATTGGAGCCTCTCTAAAAATAGTCTATAGCATGCAGTTCTATCCGAAATCTCTCTCTAAATTAGAAGTCTCTTGCCGTTTTTTTGCTTGGATTTGGACTCCGATCATTCGGGGTGACGTGCCGTCTGTCCCGTTGGCGTCTTCATTGTGAGTTGGCCCACGCCATCTCAAGGTCTTCTGCCGTCGTAGCAGCAGGAGGGTAGTGGTCACTCGGAAGCTTCGCACTAGAGCAACAGCTCTCAGCCGCCGCGTTCGTCTCAGTAGCACAGCTGGGTTGTGCCAGCCACCCGTAATGGCAGCAGGACCAGCGGCCCACAGCAAACGGGAACTTGTAACCACTCGGGATGGCAGCCGGAACAGCGGAACCTCGCCTGGTCCCTGGGCCAGTCATCCAGCCGAAGTCCAGGCCTCGTTCACCGGTTGTCTAGCTGTCAGGAACGGCAGCCGCAACAGCAGCGGATCACCTGGTCCCTGGGCCAGTCACCCAGCTGGAGTCCAGGACAGTACAGCGCCTTAAGAACGGTCTCCTAGTTCTGCCGGACCGGACGTCCAGCCAAGAACCATCTGTCCTTGTCCGATTCGCTGCCTCGAACGTTGTCACGCGCTTCCCGATCCCGTGCGCTCTTCTTTGTC